ATGGAATAACCAATAGAGCTCTACACCTGTCATACTAAGAAGTCTAATAGAATTATTCAGTTTATACTAAAAGCTGAAATGTACCAATTAAATAGTGTACGTCAGATAGATTAGTATTAATTATTGAAACAAAGTCGGTATCAATAATTTTAAACCTATTAGTTCATATATATAATGTCTTTTCATATATAATTTCTAAATGCATGTGATAAGTAATTGATTGAACACAACCAATATATGTAGCAAGCTGACTTTTGCAATATATTTATCACATTAGAGTACAAATTGTCAATGGATGGATGAGCATTTTAGTATTTTTTTTGTCTCAGACAGTCAATGACGTCATAAATTAATATGCTTTTCTATATTAGAAAAGACTTAAGAGCTATTTATAAATATATGAGGGTAAAGGTATTTATAATTAGGCCCCACCAAGACCGGTTGGACTGCTCGTAAAAAGATTCCCTGTGTCATACATAAAAAAAAGTATAATTAGAGTACAGTTGAAGCTATTTTCATAGAAATAACGAAATCGTCAATATTTATTACATAATGTATACATTATGTAATAAATCCTTTCATATACTATATCGTCAGTAATTAATATTGCTGGCACCTTTTTATAAATATTTTACTGTTATGATGAGAGACACATAAAATACAAAATAATAACATCAAACTTTCTAATTATAATAACTTATAATAGTTCGTTGACATTATTCTTCTATGCATTAATAATATACATAAATGACTGAACAGATATTAAAATATTTTGAGCAGCATCAGTTTTCTGTATAATTTACAAGGGCATTATACTCAGATTTTCAAAGTGGGTGTGAAGATGAAGTAAAATTAAGTATACAGAAAAAAACGAGTTCACATCTATCAAATATAAAACAATATTGTGAGACATTTTATGGTTACTTCTACGGGTCAATCTGTCCTTCTTTGTGCAATTTATAGGCTACCCATTTATAGTAATATCTATTCATAAATGAACTAGAAATAATACAGAATAAATAAAACAAAATCTAGATAAATAATTATGAGACGATAGTGTAGGTTTAAAGGTAGACTAATGTAAAAGATAACTATAATACTTTTATGTATGGTTCCGAAGTAATGTGTGGGATCTGAATGATAACTTAAATCTAATATGGTATCCTAATAATATGTATACTGAACTGCGCTTACTCACTACCGAACCATCGTTGAAGTCATGTCCACAGAAGGATCCAAAATACAAAATTATATCAAATAATAAAAACTCGATGAGCTCTTCAAAACCTAAATTAGAAGCCAACAAAAAGGTATGCTCATATAAAATATAGGGCATCGCAATAAAACATTACCTTCTGCTATAAGGAGCAAAAATAAAAATATCTAACGATCATAAAGGTTACAACTATTATAAAAATAAAAAACTAAGTACGCGTGAGAAAATGAGACGACCTGTACTGAAAGTGAGATTCTTAATAGCACAAAAAAATAAAATAAATGTTTATTTAGAACATGTATGTTTAGTAGATATGGAATGCCAAACAGGTTTCATGTAGACCCATTAAAACATTTATAATTATTATTACTCAAGAGAGTGGTAAGATACAAAATTATAATTAAATATAAAAACAATAAGCATGGTCTACCTTAATACTGTATAAAAATGTCTATTCGCAACAAAATCAAATACGCATTTTAATAAGTAAACTTTTATACATACATATACTCTTTTATATAATAAATATTCAAATAGAAATTGATTTCCCCTTTAAAATGCCTTTTGTCATGAAAAATAAACAAGTAAAAATTATTTATACAGAAAACGTACACTACATTACATGCATACCGAAGTCACGGGCTAAAATTACCATAAAATGTATAGCAAATATTAAAATATTTTTCGTTGAGAACGTAAACAAGAATTGATTTAATCATTTATTTATCATTTTGATCAAGTTACGGCATGATTAACAAGGAAATGAAACCACTTTGAGCAGTCGTTTGTGATCACGATATTTGACATTATATCATATCATTAATTATTATATCATATCATTAAATTTGCCTTCAAATTTTTGCTTTAAGCTGAAATAAAAGTAAACATTGAATCCTTCTGTATAATTTCTGTTTCATTTTATTACTACTTCATGCGGGAAAACAAGGTACTTGAGCAAGTTTATAAAGTGTATGAATTCATCCAGGTAAAAAACAATTTCAGATAATATTTTCACGGCAATACCAAATGAAATTGGTTTCTTATATGACAATGAAAACCACTTAATGTTACGTAGCAACGACATACTTTAAATATGTATATATTTATCTATTTAATAAAGGGGTTTTTTGTTATAAAAACTAAAATTAAATTTTTTTTTGGTAAGTTTTAATTTTTTCTGATAAATTTGTAAATAACAGTAATAACAGCTCATATTATAATTATTTTGTCTTTTCTTAAATATTGTTGTAAACTCCTTGAAACTTTTGCTAGTTATCTTCACATAATATTTATCAGCTTATGAAATTATTTGATCAGAACATGGTTCTATGTGTATTAATTTAAAATAAATTTTGTGTCTTTCAAACTGCAATAGATAATTAGAACGTTTACAATAATACATTTAGACTTTATTTCATTTTTGATGATAATAATTTATTTAGTTTTAAGGCCACCCTATAGCAGTAAAAGATATCTTAAACTTCCAATACTAATAATATTTTAAAAATCTACTTAATATGACCACAAGTTTGTCAACGTTTATAAAAACCTTTCCTGATGAGTCATTGCTGTCAATAAGAACGGTTTTATTTTGTTATTTTATTTAAAGTTAAAGGGAGTTACATATAAAAACACTGAACACAGGGGACAAATTTATTTAAAAACTATTAAATATTAACATTCTCCAAAGAGACTAAACTTAACAATCTAAAATATATTGCTCTCGGTTGAATCACGATACATTTCATTCGCTACATGCTATGTTTGTGCAATCACATGTCTAAATAATTGAAGTGTAAATGACAGTATTGCTATTTATTAAAATACCTTATTATTAATTTAGTAAATTGTAAGGGTATATGTTCTTTTAATGTTAAGATTTTGGTATCAAATCGTAGTACAAAACATAATGAATATAAAATGACTTAAATTATATTATCGGATATGACTCGCGTTTTATATTTCATTTCAACTGCTGTCTGACTAAGAATTGAGACTTTCATCTCTGTTCCTTTGATCATGCTTGTAAAGTAACTGAATCGTCATTTTAATAATAGCTAAAATGTAAAATAGGAAACACGAGTCACAACCGAAAATATAGTTTTATTAAAATGTATATTCCTGGAAAACGTAAGAATCACTTATTATAAAATGGGATCACAATATTAAGACTATAATTTTATAATTACCAATAAAGTCACACATTAGTTATAACGACTAAATACTATATTTATAAGAGGAATAACAAATGAACTTTTGTTCTAAATTATCAATTAGTTTTGACTTTACTACATCTTTTGCTATTTGATAAAAACTCAAAAGATATTCACGAGAATCGAGAAATCTGTTTTTATACCAAAAGAAAAAACAATTGAAATATCAACAAAACATTGTGCTTGTAATATATTTTGAATAAATCTTTGATAGATCTTTATTCGTACATTAATAATACTAAGTGCGTCACTAGTAAAATCGTTTAAACATACCAAATATGTAATTCTTAAATATTTTGTCATATTTATAAAAACATTTAATATATAAGCAATTTTATATAAAACAATAATATGGAAATGATATGACAAAAGTTCGAAATTCAGAGGTTATTATTTTTTAAATAGATTTAAATATGTTTTTTGTTAGTAAACTGTCCTATTTTGAAATATATGACTAACATTTAAATCATACAATACATAACATTGAAATAATAACAAAAATAATTTTCATTCATCTTCAACTCGAGTGACTATCTAAATATATAACTTTCTTGACTATGTTATACTTATTCTGTTTCTCAACATACACATATATGTATAACATTTTATACATTATAAGGTACCAACTTGTTTTGATTCATATTATTACAATTATTAATAACCTTATAACTACAGTGATCTAAGAGTGTGCGGTGTCAAACTAAATACTACCAGTTTATTAGTTTTTCATTAATAAGTTTTCATATATCGTCGTAGCGACTTAGATTTATACGTAAAATACGTCGAAATGGTAACTGTTTCAAACTCATACTAATTCATACTAACGGAACAGTACATGGTATTATCATAATTGATTACGTTACATAATATCAGATCATTTAATACAACTAATAGGACTCAGAAATATATAAGTGCCTGGCTTCTTATAATTATAGGAAGTGATCGCTAGAATAAAATCGTGAACACAGTTCTAAAATCCCTAAGACACTTTAGAGGACTGTTAAATTCAAAAATATAATAAAAATCTAATCTATCATCTCTTGACTATTTTAAATAAGTAATCATATATTATCCAAATCTTTTATATATCAACTGTACTAGGAATCTAAGGAAAAAACTTTTTTGCTTATGTTTATATTATGGGAATAGAAATTACATTACGGTTAAAGATTTTACTTATTTATAAGCGTATTGAAGTTTCATAGTCAAAATTACAGTATTAAAAGGTCCAATACAAAAAAAAATCTCCAAAAATATTGGGATATCATAATCATAATTATTTTTCATTGTCTTAAATATGGGAACGTTTCCAATGCCGTACCTGGAGAAAAATAAATAAATTTATATTTAGAGATATCGACAAGTTTATTCATTTTTTTATATAATTTTAGTAAACAAAAATGTATCATATATGAGAAACGAAAACGAACCACTTAAATTATATAAAAAATATGTATTTTAAATTATCTCTAAATGTAAGTTGCATATACACAAAGTTAAAGTGGTTATAGAGAACCGACCAAAAAGAACAGAGACGAAAAATAATTAAAACTCACCCATGGTATCAACCGTTAGAATTGACTTTGTGTAGACGGTCCATCAAAAGATTCTTCGTTGATAAGTCTTAACTTAACAGACTCTCGTCTCAAATTATAGCTTGTAGAAATATGGCAATGCTTAACATCCACGGTGAGTAAATCTTCGTTTAGTTCCACTCCACTTTTTTCGACGTCTGCTGCAGCACTTGGTTTCCTTTTTTGTCTGAACGACGGAATTCTTTGTGAACTTGAACCCATGTAGCTGTCAGTTGCAGTGTTACCATTAAATGTTTTTTCTGATTGACACAAGTGCCCTAATTGTTCTAATGGAATATTAGTACGTTGTAAAGATGTATCAATGCAAGGAATCAGTTGTTTGAATTCTTTTCTAAAGTTCTCATTCATCCACGCATATATAAATGGGTTGTAGCAGGTAGAAGACATAGCTATGACATGACAGACGAAAAATATCAAAAAGTAATATTTTGAATGTATTGCATACATATAATAGTCATTGTAGAGATTCGTCACATTTAAGGGCAACCAGGAAAGGCCGAATATTGTGACCATTGCAATAAGCATTTGATTAGTGCGACGTTTTCTATTCTTATCAAATTCTTCCTTTCGAGTATTCTTACTAGCAGCTTTGGCTTTAGCTCGATCATTCAACTTAAAACTAACACAGGTATAACAGAAGGCTATTACACTAAACGGTAATACAAATTGAAGTATTGACGTTATAGATCCAAAAACTCGCCTTAGCTTTTCAGTTGGCCAAGTTTCTTCACAAAATCTTCCGATATCTAAATCGTAATATGTCATAAAAATGGCGTAAGGTAAAGTAACCGTTATCGAAAAGGTCCATATCATTGCAATAACAGATATACAAGTTTCTATTTTCATTCTTGGCCGGAATGGGTATATAATTACAAAAAACCTATCAATTGCTATAGACATAAGCGTCAAAGTTGATATGTATACACTACAGCCTTGAGCGGAAGGCATCATATGGCAGAGAAGTGATCCCCAACTCCACGAACCTCGGAAAGAGTAAAGAGGTGTAAACGGTACCGCAAATATACAGAGCAATATATCAGATAACGCTAAGTTTGTTATGAAAAGATTCGTAACTGTTTGCATTGCTCTGTTCCTAATGACGACGTAACAAACCAAAATGTTCCCAAGTAGTCCTAGGACGAAAATTATTGTGTAAATAACGCAGAAAATGGCTTGGACAAACTTGTTATCGATAATGTTTTCGAAGCCGGCAATTTGCGGCGAAGGCGACGCATCTTCAGAACCGTTACTGAACTTTTCCGTCACATTTGCTATGTAATAATAAGCGACAGTTGTATCGTTCATTGTACAAATTCACTTCAAGATAACAGCTAAAACAGATAATATTTCTGTCGCTGTCAGGTTTACGACCGCTGGTGAAATTTAACGTCGGACCTGAAACAAAATAAAATAGGATGTTAAATCCCTATACCGTGGTGTCGTGTAATAAATGGTCTTATACTCAATAAAACGGCAATTTGGTAACAAGAGCACAAAGGTTAAGGGTTTTATTTTAAAATTGAAATAATGGTTTTGATTTATGTTTTGTGTTATTTATTTATAAAAAGATTTATGTGAATTTATCATTTACGCATAAAACTAATTTTTTCAAGCCTTTACACGAACGCCAATTATAGCAGTAAATTTTTTATGCGGGGTATGGCATAATGTGTTTGTTTTATCGATCATCAAAAATGGATTAATAAAGCAAGACGTTATGATACTGGGACTGACTGCACAAATATTAGGAAATATCTATACATCTTGACAAGTACCAACACTATTATATGTCATACCAAATTTTTTTGTGCGTAACTTTATTAATCACTAGAAGACCTGGCGAACTTCGTATCGCCCTATAATCAAGAAATATATATTACGTTTTTTATGTATATTTTTGGAGTTTACCTATTAAAGCCATAAATCTCCGTGTTTTGAAGTGCGACAGAATGATTGACATATTAGTTAGTTGTCAAATCTAATGTCAAAAAAAAACGTTTGTATGGGAAATAGAAAAGGGCTGTTTTTATGGTTTTCCCAGTAATGAATCAATTTTTTTTCAGCTTTTATACCTTCCCTGAACCTCCACAAACATTTCAAGACTAAGATAAGATAAATTCGTTCAGCTGTTCTCGAGTTTTAGCGAGACTAAGGAACAGCAATCCATTTTTATATATATAGAAGATTACCTATATGACTTTGAGTTTCCAGTCACAATTTATGGATTATTTTCCATTATTATTATGTTTTAGATTTATAAAATGACGCAAAAATATTATTTAATAAATAGATTCAATCTGTACCAGCCCTTAAAAACCACGTTTGACCTTTTAGTTGCTCGTGGGGAATTCGGTTTTGATGATACACGAAATTACCGAAAATAGCTTTTATATTATATGAGTATCACAGTAAATGATTCTGCCACTAGTAAACTATATTTATTCAATAACGCGATTTAAATGACTTTGTTGAAAGTAATAATTACTTCGAGACATATGTCATTAATTTATGTACATTATTTACATATGTAAAATATGATATATGATTTAATAATATATTTACAACATATTCCTTATTCATTATGATTATTTAATAAAATATATCTCAATATTTTAACAAATAATAATAGACTATATATAATTATCGAAAAGAATAAAACCATTTCAATTATATGACTGTAATATTGGATTGGATTACATATGTATATCTAATACTCAAATTCGTCTTAGCTTCATAAAACTTTATCAAGATGAAATACATTATCTGATACTAGAAATATGTTACAAATATTATAAAGTTTCGATATGAAAATCCGTATCTACTCGGTCCATTAAGGAATTGGCAAATATTTGGAATCCTGTAACTACTGCAATGCCGACCCTGCTAACAAATGATAAAACTGGGTCGAAATGCTCAAGTTACATGATTAAACCCAACTTTTCCTAACCAACATTTCAAATTTACTTTACAAAATCGTATTTGTACTGAAAAGTTGCTTTCACATTTAGTCATTCTAAACATTCAGACACAAGTTTTAAGCGTCTCCTATTTGTTGTTTCTATACAATATACATATATTCCTAAAGACATTTTCATAATAATAATTAATTAATTTGGTTATACATAAGTATGTTACTGAATATTTTTAGCGCAATTAATAATTATTTCTAAATATTGTAATATTCACAATGAGGAAATGTCTATGTTTGAAATGTTATATATTTTTTATTCTTTCAGAATATTTTCCGTATTGATTTTAAATGTTATAAAATAAATAAAAAATCAAAACGTATTCAGCGGTAAAAAGGCACAAAGTGTACATTGTCTTACAATGTCTTAAGTGTATTATTTTATATTTATTTCTTCAGTACTAATCTAAATATAGTCATTTAGTGAGAGATTTATAAATAAAATATGACAGTATAGCAATCTTTACAATATCGGTTAGGCTTTTGAGACTCAACCAAATAAATCTTTGTGAGATCGCATTTTTATTAAGAAAAAGGTCAAAGAAAAATGACACTGAATCCTAATTACAGTTAAAATAAAGTTAATAGATGTAAATAAGTAAACTGAAGATTGTATGTGTTATCATTACAAGAATAACTCAAGCGTTAGAAGGGGATTTTTTAGGTTACAATATGAATCACAATCAGAAACAAAATAACTTACATGATTACAGCTGTCATTATGCCCAGCCGTGAAAAGAACACGATTATGCATATTCTTATTGGATATTCAAATCACAGCGTATAGTTTTATTAAAGTGGAAAACATAAACCAGTATTTGTATTTACTAAGGAGTTCACGTTATGCCATGCGCGCTCCGTTCAGCGCATGCGGGTTGAGGCTCTTTTCACAGGTAATTATTGCCGACAAATTTCCGTCAAGAACCCGCATCGTCGGTTTTTAGGGCTTGGTCGTTTGTGTATCGAAATATTGAGTTATATTATTAATATTTTTTACATGATAATGAGTTATTGATAATAATTAATGAGAACCGAACCAATTTGTTCGACATTAATAAAATAATGTAAATACGTAGAAATATTATTCATTCTATTGATCACGATTCTGATTTCTTTAAACTATTTTCATTACTTTTTATGAAGTTATGAAATAACATAATACAATTTCCAATAACAATATGAGAAACAATAAAGCTTTTGTTCCAGTAACACAGAATTCTCTGAATTGCATATCATGAAAGTGGTGTTCACTGCTCATCAATGTAACTGTGTTAAGTACATATAATTTCGAGCATTTTATTATTAAAATGTTGTATAAGAGTATTCAGTTATTTATTCTTAATAACTAGTTATTTTGCGCTACCACTTAACTATTGCTACTTTTTATGTAGAATTGAGATTCGGATATATTATTTATATTTTAACATTTTTAGTTTTTCAAATTGAACTCTTTTGAAAAGACTTTTGAAACTATTTTTATTGATTATTTAAATTTTAATCCAATAAACTTATATGAATAGTATTACCGAAATAAGTTTTTTTTCAATACAAATATAGTAATAATGCACATTAAAGTTGCAAACTATGCATTTATTTCAATTCTATGATCATTCAAAAAGTTATGAAGCTTTTGTAACAAAATCAAAACAACATTTGTTGTCATTTGTTGTCATTTAGTTTTATAATTTTTATTCGTAATAGGCCTTTTAAGTCCGAAGTGTAACTAATAAATGTTAACTCTAAGCACTACACTAGAATCCAGAGGTAGTTTCATTAAAATTCATTGCGCCATTACCAAGAATAATAGGTATAAATAAAAAATAGACATTAAAAAATACAAAAAAAGTATAGTTCAACGCTTGGCATCATTTATAACTACAGGCATATATTTAATGTGTATGGATTAAAATAATATATTTTAGGTAAATTTTAATACATCTAAATTAAAAATGTTCCATATGTTTTCCCTTTATTCATCGTACCTCGAAGTCCCTTACAATAGTAATTGTTTGCTTTCATCGTAAAGCGGACGTGGCTAGGAAACTGTGACAAACTGTATTCCGACACGATATTGCTTTTCGCTGTCTTTTCAATAAGCTATCCGGAAATGTTTTAAATTATATAATATAGAATTTATTTATTAAAATAAACTGTTGAATTGAACACAAAATTTTTACCCTATTGTACAAGTTTTAAAGCGAAATAGGTACACTTTGTTCTAACATTTGGGAATAGTAAATTTGGTTATCTCTGCGTTTGTTTAGACAAATAAACAATCAAGCTAGTCCAAACAAATTGATGTGATAAATTAGTTTATTTTATTACATGGACTCTTTTTATTTTATACAAATATAATTTAATTTTTTATTGTATTTAAAAAGAATTCAGTTACGGTTTAATAAAATTTACTTTTACGCGTAGTACATATATCCGAAAAATATTAGTATCATTGAAATTAATAAAACTCGCGAAAGTCTTAGATCTCATGTGAACCAGTACGGATTAGGAATCGCCAACAAAATTGCCGGTTGGTGTACCTGAAGACGAAGAAAGCAAAATTTACTTTTTCTCATTTCATTTAACTATTAATCTTGTTCTTATTTACTAATACCAGTAAATTGTACAAAAGTATTATTTATCAATCAATTTTGATATTTTTTTATTACAGTTTAGTGTCAGAAATAATTAGTGTTTCGTGTCAGAAATAAAATCAATTAAGATTTATCAAATTTCGTTTTTATTCGGTTGACATAAATTAATATTACACTATAATTAATAAGTAGATTAAAGTGCTTTAATTCTTCCTTATCGCTACGACATTTTAAAAATATAAACTGGGAATTTATAACCAAATATTTCAAAGATTTTATTCATCTTTAATTTGACTTCAAATTTTGTAATCTAATTTTATCAATACAATGTAGAATCGTTATCAATTCAATTCTCTTCATTAAATCATCTGAATACAATCAAGTTCAATTAACTGTTGTTTATACGTTGCAAATATAATAATAGTTTATAATACACTGTGTCTGAATAATTAATATGTATTTACTGAGGTGTACTTTACTGGCAATTAAGAACATGATACGTGCTTTTAATAATGATGAATGGGTTCATTGGGGTTTTTGTTATCAGGCTGAATATTTCTTCCGACTTTAAATATGTAGTTTTGTTAAATTATTTTCATCAGTCCTGTTTGTTCGTTTTAATATTTTGAAATGAACACGACGTGTTTTATTGAAACCTACATAATATATAAGTATATAAAACTTTTGCAGTTGCGTCTTTTAGCATAATTATGAGATGTAAATATTTTTTCCTTTCAATATACTAT